TTGTGTTGCCATTTAACTGTCAAGCTCAAAGTGACAGTAAAATTCCCCCGCTTCAGTGCCAAACGGAGTGCAGAGATCCATATTAAGCAGCAAAGGAGCATGAAAAGTCAATTCGATGGCATATTAAACATGAGGGTGGATGTAGCCTCAGAAGCAGCTTCAGGAACAAATTCTGTTCTGCTAGAGTCATACATAAATTCTGTACAACATAACAGATGTTATAAAGAAATAAATACATGAAGCCAGAGGGGTGTAGTTAAGGGGTGCATTTGTCATTAAGGATCACAGGAGCCTTTTTGTAATGCTGTCGTCTTAAATTTGAGGCATACATTTTTCAGCTGACAAAACAGCACTGAGGAACAATTCTAGAGAGTGATAAAACCTGCCAAAAAAAGAAAAGGTTTTAAGAAATTAAATATGAAATAATAATATAATGCCTAGTGAGTGATAAAACCTATCCTAAAATAAAATAAAATAAAAAATAAGTTTGTAAAAAATATTTAAGAAGTTAAATATGAAATAAGAAACTTGTAATCCCAAGTGAGTGATAAAACCTGTCCTAAAATATAATAAAATTAAATTAAATACAATTTAATTAAATAATAGGTTTGTAAAAAAAAAAATATTTAAGAAATTAAATATGAAATAAGAAACTGATAATCCCTTGTGAGTTATAAAAACCTGTCCTAAAATAAAATAAAAGATATTTTGAATGTTTTTAAAAAAATTAATATGAAATAAGAAACTGATAATCGTGAGTGTAAAATCTGTCCTAAAATAAAAAATTAATAAAATAAAATAAATATTTTTAAAAAATGTTTTAAGAAATTAAATATGAAATAAGTAATCAATAATAGTGAGTGATAAAACCTCTCAAAATAAAATAAATGAATAAAATAAAATTAAAGTTTGTAAAAAAGATTTAAGAAATTAAATATGAAAAAAGACACCGATAATCCCTTGTGAGTGATAAAACTTAAAATAAAATAAAGGTTTAATAAATTAAATATAAAATAAAAATGATAATCCCTAATATCCAGTACATACTATCATGATGCATGACAATAATAAATGTTGCTTTAACTTTTTTTCATACAAAGCAATTAAGTAGAGAGATTTTGAGCAAATTTATAACATAGATATGTATATTGTTTAGATTGTGGGGTGAAATGTTGAATATTTCCACTAACTCTCCTTCTCTGTCAACATTTACATTCATCCATTTAGTAGATGCTTTTATCCCAAGTGACTTACAAATTAGGAACATCACAAGCAGTTTGTCATAGAGCCAACAATATTCCTATTGCACAATGCCAAACAAAGTTTAGTACAAACTAGATTAGTAAACATACAGCAGAAGTGAAATGCACAGGAACAGAAAGAAAACTTTTGGACTGTATAAATGGGGTCTTAATAAGTGATTTTGTTTATGGTCATGGATTAGTTAAGTGCTTGCAAAAACATGCATCTTTCTCTATCACATGCAGAAACACAAAGCTTTTTTTCCTTTGAAAGCAGTAACTTTTTCTCTCTCTGCTGTTCTCTGTGACTGTTCATGTCCTTGACATTTTGTCCTCGTAACTGCTTTGCCAGTCTGTGATGTGTTATTGGTTCTATATGTTTGTATTCAGTGCATTTTTGTATATTCTTTCTGTATTTTCTCTGGTCAGCTCTGCAGACGGAGATGATGGATCCTGAGAGGAATAAAGAAAACTCAGCAGACTGACACAAAAGAAACAGAGAAAAAGGAAAAATGAGAAGCGAGATGTGAAAGAAGCGAGTCTCCTTCAGGATTTACTTCTGATTTCCGGTGCCGAAGGCAAATATGCAAACACACACAAACACACAGTAATTAATTTCATGTGAAGCGTCTGTTGATAAACTACTTCGACTTCGTAATCCCCTCAGTAATTAATTTACCATGTGAAGAATTCATAATGAGCTCTGATAGCCCAAATACGCCATGTCCCTCTTAACCTACAAGCTCACATGCTGTTGCTTTGATAAAGCAAAGAGCCAAAACAATTCTTAGTAGGGTAGGTCATAGAACAAACATCATTTGTGAAATAGCGAGTGGCTTATGAAGTGTTTACAAACCAGCTAGATTGTCAGGAGCCGTAATGACATGCTTGAGTTTGACACTGATATAAATGAAGCCAGCACTGAAGACTCTTCATTCTGCTGGAGAACTGGAGCAGCTGCTTCAGAAAGAAGCACAGCTGAATGTTTGTTCTTTATAAAGTCCTTCTAACTCTCATAAGAGCTTGCAAATAAATCACATGCTCAATATATAATGAGCTGCAGTGCTGAAATGGATGATGAAGGTGAGAGTCTCCTCAAAAAGTTCATGCCCACTCTGCATTTGTATATTCAGTGGCTCCGTTTTTTTTTTTTTTTAATAACCCATACTGCAAAATATACATATTTCATAATATACATATTTTCTGGCCAAAATATATTTAAAATCGCCTACTATATATGTTAAATAAATGTTGTAAACAATGGTGTTAAATGAAATGAAATAAACCTATATTTAGTTTCAACATTCCTATACCAAAATATATTTTTCAAAATGTATTTCAGGGGCAAGAAAATAAATTTCCAATCTTACAGGACAGCCTACAATTAGTCTAAATGTTGATGGGATCACCTAGAGATCCAAACTAGATTGAGGAGGATTCATTAATGTTGCATTTTTTAAATAACATTTTTCAAACGTGTTATATGTTTACATGTTTTAGGCAAGAAATCATTTCTTAAAATGTGGCGTGAATTAATTTTCTTGGAAAATACTGCATATGGATATATACTGTATATGTTTTAAAATATATTTTCAAAAAACATACAAAAATACATTGGTAGAAAATGTATTTACATAAATATATACAAAAAAATTTTTTTTTTGTTATGTTTTTATGTTTATAACAAAAATTAGCTTGAAACGTGTATCTGTATATCTGTGTTGTATATATTTATAGAATTTCTGCCACTTTGTTAGATGATTTGTTTTTTATTGATTGATTAATGATTTTTTATTGTATATCTAAAACATGTATAATGTATAAAATTATATATAACAATAATAAAATAAAAATACATATAAAATACAATTTTATTTTTATATAAAATTTAATTAAAAAATAACAAAAATAAACCTTTAAATTAAATATATAATAAAAATAATTTGTTATCTATTATATGTCTCATCATTTAAAACCCCAGTATGATAAATTACACTTCCTTGCAGCATCACGATCTCAGACAAAAATCGATTGACCTTTCAGCCCGACATTCAGTACCTAAAGGATTCAGCAGTTCTCAAATGGGAGGGTTGTTTTATCCCAAAAATCATGACGGTAGAATCTGAGAAGAACATTTCCCAAATAGACGATTTTTCTGGCCCAGAACTGCTTTTTCTTTGGTGGAAATATGCAAAATGTGGTCAATTTGGACATTGGCTCTGGCATCCAGGGTCCAGCTCTTCTGTCTGTTCTCCTCAACCTACCCTATTCAGTCAACCTTCTCTCCACCATTACTCTCAATTAAAACCACCAACATGCTCTAGATTACAGTGTGGTCAGAGCTGTGCGAGCTGTGAGAGCCCTGACTCTACCATCCATCATCGATACCTCTGTTCACTCCTGCACATTCCTGGGTGGCCATCACAGTCAACCACAAACAGGCCATCCTTTCCAAAAATGATGCGTTTCATCTGATACTTTATGATTTAAGAACAAGTACTCCATAATCATAAAAAGGTAATTCCTACAAATTAATAATATATACATTTAAATTTAAATAAACTATAACATTTCTATATAATTATTATGTAATATATATTACAAAAAATTAAATAGCAGCACCGCAATACCAAGGTTATTGCAATACTGCTGATGCTTTTTCTTTCATTTTTTCTCCTTCTATTACAGATAATGGTAATCAGTTTTGTCCTTTGTCTTTGTAATAAGGCTAACAGCAGCAGGACTGCGCAACGCTCTCGTAGAGGGGGGTTAACGCTTTACCAGCACCTCTGGAATGGCTGGAGATCAATGCGTCATGCCCTGCAGCGGCAAAAACTCGACCAGCCGCATGTGATGTGGGCTGCCGTTTAATTTCACGCTCAGGATCTGAGTGCTGCCTCTCACACAGAAGACAGAGAGAGAGAGAGACAGGAGGTGAGAGAGATGAGAAGCGGAGAGGATGGAGTGCTTTTTGAAAATAAGGTGAGGAACGGGAGAAGGCTGACGGTGGATGAAAAGATAAGCAAGTAAAGAGAAAGGGATGGAAAAAGGATTGGTACAGTAAGAGGCAAACAAATGAATACACTTACAGTATATATTTTAAGAATGTTTAGATATTTTGACTGGAAAACAAGAATACTGATTAAAAAATAACTGAAGTGCAAATGAGGGAGGGAGATTTAAACTTTATTACACTAATCGCCCTGCACTGTTTGTGTTACAGTCATGAATAATATTTGACGTGACGTGACATGTGGCCAAGTATGGTGACCCATACTCGGAATTAGTGCTCTGCATTTACCCATCCAAAGTGCACACACACAGCAGTGAACACACACCCGGAGCAGTGGGCAGCCATTTATGCTGCGGCACCTGGGGAGCAGTTGGGGGTTCGGTGCCTTGCTCAAGGGCACCTCAGTCGTGGTATTGAAGGTGGGAGAGAGCGCTGTACATTCACTCCCCCCACCTACAATCCCTGCCGGTACGAGACTCAAACCCACAACCTTTGGGTTATGAGTCCGACTCTCTAACCATTAGGCCACGACTTCCCCATATAATATATCAATACAAGTACCAAAAATGTACAAATCTAGCAGTTTACTAATATTTTCAGTATAATGTTGGTTAACTGTGAACATTTACATGGGTTCTGTAACGTTTCAAGCTAAAGAAATACCACATTTTAATTTATACTACTTGCATTCAATCCAAAGTGACAGATTACATAAAACTGCATTCTATATGTCCAAAAAGTGCAGCCTCAACTTGGTTCCTTAAATTCAACAATACAATATATTACTAAAATAAATATGTGGTGTTGAAAAAATAAGCATTCAAAACAGTACTGAGTCACACACCAGCTTCTAATTATCAGAGGAAACATTACAGACATGGAATTCTTCAGCTGAGTTGACCCTCATACTGTTTCCGGAAACAGTCTCCAACAGGAAAGAACTCCCAGCAGCGTTCCTGGAACATCTTCCACACGTATGATTCCTGTTGTTTTACAAAGTGCAGCAGTCACAGTTCATTTTATAATATATAGTGTATCTCAAGGTTCATTTGTCAGTGGTTTCACATTTTAATGTATTATTAAGCACACATCTTTCACTCTGAAATTGTCCAAATATCTCTTTTCGATAAAGGTTCATGGGAAGCTGTACCTGTCCGGTATGTTCTGTGACATCCTTATTGATGAGATACATCAGAAAGAACCTAAATGGCAAACAAAACACAAAACAAATGTAATTTTTTCAGCAAAAAAGGAAACAAGTATTCCATTTTACCCCACATCACAGTATTTTCTAGTAACATGACATGCTTTCTGTTAATCTCAGCCTTAGACGTCCCATCTACAGACTGTTGGCTGAACAAACACAAAATGGGAGAAACTTCTGGAATTTCAAAGCCAAAATCTGATTGGTTGAATTCTACAGGATTTCCAGAAGACAGATTATGTGTCACACTCTTTAACAGTCCGCCTGGAAACAAAGCTGTCGTGATTACAACTGTGACAATGATCGCTTATCAGGACCAAAATGCTGGATTTTCAAATGTATGTGAAGTTCTCAGCACCATTGTTGCAGTAAACTTGTATGACGATCCTGAATTGCACTCCGGCCTGTTATTGTAGGGACATTGACTTTACATTTTTACGCTCCTAAACTGAACTGTGAGCAGTAGCTTTACATGTCAGTCAGACATCCTCTTGGGCGGAACTTGGCCAATAAAAGCTGCGATGAAGACCAGACCTTCTGCCATCAGTATGAAGGTCTGGCTACATGAGACTAGCTCTCTGTCCTGACCAGCTGCTCAACAGACTCATTTTCCACCAGAATACTGCCTTTAAAATTGTGACTGAAAAAAAGGATGATGGAAAAGAGGCATTACTGCTCTCTGACCTGTTTTTCACGTCTCTTGTACTCACAGATAGTTGGCCAGGTTGTGCTCTTGCAACGTGTGCGACTCGAAGCCATGGGGCACCGTGTCAAAATACTCGCTCCCAATGCCACAGATAAAACACTTAGTCTGCAGGAAAAAATCAGATGCCACATTCACTGTTTAATTATACATGACAATTAGCATAAAACCCACAGCTACACCGAAGAGCGGCTGACATAGATTAATGACGTATTTACTCACAGAGAAATAAAATATTAATAATTTAGTGTGTTAATAGGAACAAAAGATGACAGACGTCATAAATCTGAATGGATTCAGGATGTTAATGTGAAAACTCACCTCCATGTCCTCTTTAACCTGCTCCTGCTGGTCTCTCAACTCGCCAAATGAATCAATGATCAGACCTTTCAGACGATGACAACAGACCAGTCACAAACACAATTAAGTTTACGCCAAACATTTGAATCCTGAGTATCATTCCATCCCAGGCATAAGACAATCCTCTAGCATCATACAGTCCTCAGATCTCTTCCCATAAACCCCTCTCAGCATGTGAGAGCGTGATTTTTTAATGAAGCTCTCCAGTGCTGCTCAGCATGACTCATGTTAGAGGACAAACTCAATAATCCGAACACTTCGGCTCATTGTCCTTCTTGAAAATTGGTGCACATATCATTCATTTCAAGTGTTATTCGCAATTTCGGTAAACCAACTCTCACAATTACTCTGTCTCTTACCCTGAATGATGGCAAGGAGGATGACGATGACGAAGAAGAAGAAAGTGATGTCGAAGATGATACGGTAGAACTCAAACTCGTCACCGGCCGGGTCTTCGATTTCATCTCCAATCCCTCCTCCGGCTCGCACGCCAACGTACATGTGAAACATGTAACACTATGCACACATGAACATTAATATTTACAGATTTAGTCACTCTTTTTTGCTTTATTCCTGCACAGTCACAATAGAAAGAAAGAAATGCTTTCATTCAGCAAGGATGCATTGAATTGATCAAAAGTGACAGTAAAGTAATTTATAATGTTACAAAAGATTTCTGTTTCAAATAAATGCTGTTGGTTTTGAACCTTGTTCATCAAAGAATCATGAAAAAATGTACCACAGTTTCCACAAAAAAATATTAAGCAGCACAATTGTTTTCAAACATTGAGAATAATAATAAGTGTTTCTTGAGCACCAAATCAGCGTATTAGAATGATTTCTGAAGGATCATGTGAAACAGCTGCTGAAAATTCAGCTTTGCCATCACAGGAATAAATTACCTTTGAAATTGTAGTAATATTTTACAATATTACTGTTTTTACTGTATTTTTGATCAAATAAATGCAGCGTTGGTGAGCATGAGGACTTCATTCAAAAAATAAACCTAAAACCTTTGAACATTAGTTTAAGTTAATGATAAAAGAGGGATACTCACTGAGAGCATATCATCACATTTCATATCCACTGGTTCACCGTCTTCGCTTTTGTTGTAAAATTTGCGGAAGAAGTTAAAGGCAACAACGGTGTAGAGATACACAACCACAGCCAACAGTCCCACTGTCAAAACCAGCTGAAATATATACTACTGTTCAAACATTTGATGTCAGTAAGATTTTGATTTTTTTTTTAAATAAATAAAAATTGAATTTGACCAGTTTAAGTCTAGTATATATGTTTTATTTATTACAATGACAGTATAATGACATTCATATTTTTGAAGTGACTTGCGGGTCTAAATACATTTTGGGGCCTTTGTATAGACACAAGCATAAACCAAATGTAGTACCTGTTTGCCATTATGTGTAACAGATGATAGTATGGTGCGCAGTGTTTTGAAGCCCATGGCGATGTCTAGCAGGTGGGCAGCGAAGAAGAAATTGTTATAATGACCCAGAACTGACACAACCATATACCAGGCCAGATAAAGGAAGGACTGAGAGAAAGAAAAACACAATTTCATTTCAGATTTGACCAGTTCCTTCAGGTCTAATATGTTGAGTGTTCAAAGAGTCAGGGATCTTACACTGTCAGTGAAAACCACTCCTAGCTTCCATATCTGATGCTTCACATCAATGGGGTTTAATCTGAAGCTGTGAAAACATGAGAATTATTTATTTTATTTATTTTAAGCCTATCGTATTGAACGCTGCTGCCATCATCTGGCACACACTGAAATCATTTTTTCAATCTCTGCAGATGAACTGATTGGGCTGTTTTGCTGAACAGAAGCTGGTTTGGCTGGTGAAATAAATATGGTAAATAGGGAAGACGGGGTCACAGGGTTGTTACTCACAGGGCAACCTTTTGCACGGGTCTCTTGCTCTCCTGAGCCTCTGAGCTGAAGTCCAGAGCAGCTTTATCCAAACCCAGCAGCTCACTGATGCGTGCCGATCCATACAGCTCTCCATATTTCGCCATCACCTGCAGCACAGAAAGCCATCACAGAATGAATCAAACACAGAAAAACAAAAATCACACAGCTTACTGTACCACATTCAGGGCAATAATGCAAAGCATTATTAGTTGGGCTGAACCATAGTATTAAATTCAGCACATTATTCATCCCACACAGTTCATGCTACAGATATGAACGATATCTCAAAGCACGTGTCTTATATATTATAGGTCTGCTGTTACTTATAGACACAGAGTTTATGATTTCCACCAGACGGATGACAAATAGGAAGCATCCCACTGACTGACACTGAAAGAGGGACCTGAGACTGAATGTCATAGACACTTGTGAGTGAGCCTGTAAATAACCACCAGCAACCAATCAGAACAACTTAGCAACTGCATAGCAACACTCTGGCAATCTGACAATCAAAAACTGTTTTGAAAGTAAAATTAACATGAATACTGCAAGTCACAATGTTTGAGTTGTGAGATACTGTCATACTATTATGTTCTTAAACGGTTTTGAAGCTACATTTTTTGAGTAAATATTTCATTTGTTCATCTTACCTTCCTTTTCACAAATTTATCCCAATAATTACTTGGGTATGATCTGAAAAACAGCAAAGAAAACAGAAAATAGTACTGAAGTGGTGCAAAAAGTGGCAATCACTGTTCATGCAGAAATTCATACAGAAGATTGCCACTGTTTCAATGCTTAAAAATGCGTATGTGAGCCTTTATGAGACAGTCAAACAGCTCTTACGGTGTATTGATGACCATTCTGTCCCACTGGCCTTTAATGTCATCTTCAGAAGGTTGCTCTGTGATATAGAGTCCGTCGAACTCCAATTTACGAGCCAGCTCCTTTTCTCGCTTAAAAATGACTAAAGGAACCTGTCAAGGGTCAGATGATGATCAAGTTAGTTGGATGAGACCATATTAAAAGGATTTTTAAACATGTAAATGAACGATTGATTTGAATTTTGAAATCTGAAAATCTAAGGACCTATGACCTAAAATGAATAAAAATATTTCTGATTTCGCACTATTTCTAGGTCACTTATTTGTGGCACTGATCAAGTGACTCTGGTCAGATTTTCCAGATGCTCTTTGGATAATCTCAAGTCATGCTGAAAAACATGAAGTATTTCATGTGTTGAAATTACTACAGTATTTCATTACTGGTTTCAGACCCACTGTATTTCTAAGAGGTCTAACAAAAGTCAGAATGGTGAAGGCATTATTTAGTCTATCAAAGACATGTTTTTAGTTTCACCATAAGAAATATAGTGGGTACTTGCACAAAACTTAGGTGCCTGTTGTGTTGCGTGAGGTGTGTGTGTGTGTGTGAGATGTGTATAACCTTCAGACAGTAGTAGCCGATGATACAACAGAGTGAGATGAGTGTATGCAGGACAGCCAGACTGTGAAGAATCATTTTCATGTAGCCACTGTTCTCTTCTAGTTCAAAATAAACTTCCTGTGAATCCTTGGTGCTGTCGTCACGAAGAGCGATCTCCACATCTTCATCCTCATCAATGGTTGATGAAACCTAAATAAAATAATTATATCAATGTTTTTGGTCAAATCTGGGTTTGCGTGGTTTACTGTGTTAGCTGGTTTAAACTGGTTTGGCTAGTATCTGGACAAGCCAGAACTACTCAGTTCTTTCAGCTGGTTTCTCAATCCAAGTGGCCTAAAAACATAAAAACAGACCAGCCTGACCAACAACATTAAATCTGATGTTTTAGCAGGGAAATCAATACTCACCTTGTAGAACAGAAGAATAAAATTGATGGCAAAAGTAAAGAACAGAGCCAACAATCTAATGTTGTAGAAATTTCTTGCAAAACAGTTCTGCAGAGAAAAGACATACTTGTAGGTCATCAGATCACATATGGTTGTTCAAGTCCATATGGTTAAACATCTGTTAGTAGCTTGTATTGTGCAGCTGGAAAACAACAGACAGAGAAAGAAACATACCAGCAGTTTGGTGCTATGAGAGCAGATCGTTTTCCAAACAGCTGATTCCTGGACCTCTGTCTCATCTGGTTTTGAAGAGCTGAGCTTTCTAAGTCTCCGTTTAGGCTTCTTTTCCCCTTTATGTTTGTCCTCATCACTGCAAAATTTAAATGCAATATCTTAGGCATTTTTTGCAATGCACTCACAAACGGCACATAATCCTTCAGAAATTATTCTAATATGCTAATCTGGTGCTCAATACATTTTTTTTTTCAATTTTCTGTGTTTTCAATGTTGAAAATGGTTGTGCTGATTAATATTTTTGTGTAAACCATGATACTTTTTTATTTGATGAAAATAAAGTTCGAAAGAGCAGCATTTATTCTAAATAACATTGTAAATGTCTTTACTGTCATTTAATCAATTTATTGAATTCTTGCTGAATAAAAGTATTAGTATAATATATATATTTTTTTTTTTTATTCATTTATTTAAAAAATACATCTTACTGACCCAAACTTTTGAACAGAGTTAGTGTTTTAGACTGATTCAAACCAGCTCATGAGACTCAGGAATCAGACTACACTGGTCAGGGTGTATGTTTTTGATTCATACCATCTAACAAGTAATCATGTCAAAAGTAATTGAATTTTTATTAAATGTGAAGTATTTGTTAATCTTCTGTGGGAGTAACAGTAATTCCCAACTTTCAATAATATTTTATCTTCACACCCTTTGAATTGTGCAGGGCCTGAACATCCTTTGTACTCAAGGGTACAATCGAGAAAATTCAAAGATCTCTTCATACAGTATGTTCCCTGAGCTTCCCGTGGGGTAGAGTAATGATACACTTCAAAGCTAAAAATCAGCGGTATGCCCTGTTAAAACAGCAGTATTTCCTGTTTTCAGAGTTTTATCTCTCCCCAGTCTGGAGCACTTACAAAGCTTTCTTAGTCTCTGAATCCTCCTCTTGCGCCTCATGAAAATTCTCCTCACAGATGTCCACCTGTTTGTAACGTTAACAAAAAAGACAGTAAATGACATAAATGGACAGAGACTAAAGGGACAAAAATGTTGGCTGGTTGGACACAAATGCTCAAAGTGGACACATTTGCTTATTGAACACATGTATACATAAATGTCAATTTATTGGACAAAAATGTTCAAAGTGGACACAAATGTTAAAATAAATGTCCAATTAGACATAAATGTCAACTTCATAAACTATTTAAAAGACTTTAAATCTTTTATACTTTTGTAAGCTGACAATGGTATACTCAAGACTATTGACCTGATATTTGGACGTGTTTAGAAATCCATCCAGACTGCCATGTTGGTCTCTGCTCGACAGTGTGTACTTTTCTCCTTCCTTCTTCAAACACAAGCCGAAAATATCTGTGAGAAGCTGTGGGTCCCTGGACACTGCAGACAGATCCAGACTCATCCCTCTAAGATCACCACGAGAAGAAAAGGCACGTGTATCACACGTATTATTCTCTCTAACCACCCCTTCTCCAAACCCTATGGTCTCAACCATGGTAGGATCCCGAAGGTCACCTAAAAGGTCAGCCAGTTTCATTTCTTTAGCCATGTCAATAATCCATCCACTCAAGAAGATGTGGTAGAGCAGATAAAGGAAGAACCAAACCAGACCTAAAAAGGCACGAGTGATAAACAACAGAGCATTGTGGAAGAAAGAGAACATCACTGAGATGATACTCCTCATGGTTATCCCTTTTAAGTGTTTTCCGATGTTCCTTATGGAAAACCATCTCAAGTCTTTGGTCATCCTGTTGTCTTCAGCAAGGTTTTCATTCTTCTCCACCTTGTCATCCTTTGCTTTCAGTTCCTCTCCACTCTCTGAACCAGATATTTGTGCCGCAAGCTGCATTTCAAAGATGGTGTCTTCACAGAAGTTGACAAATAGCTCCATTTTTTCCTTCTCTCCGCCCTTATTCACAACATCAAAGATGAACTGCCGTTTGCTCTCCTTCACCTGAATCATTGAGAACACGCATTCGTATAAGACACACATTAGTAGACCACAAAAGCACATAAGCAAATGATTGCTTAATACCTGTGGTTTCTCCCACTGTGTCCGGCTGGATTCGCTGATCTCAAAGTAGACCCTTTCGATCCGTTTCCCGCTGCCCAGGATTTCGATCCTTCCCAGGTGAGGATGGAAATACTTAAGCACGCTGTCCGCCAGCTCTAGGAAATTCTGCAAGCGGCCATCATTTGGCATGTGTTCGGACAGATTGGTCAGAAGAACAGCCACATTAAAGCCAATATCTTTGGCCGGTTCATGAAATCGTGTCACAAAGTCTGGGTAATCCAGAAGCTCGCTTTCCGCCGTCTCTGCACAGGATAACAGGAACTGGATCTCTGATTGAGAGTAGTGCTTGAAACCTTCCATGGCTCGGTGGAAGTCCTTTTTGGTAATGAGCCCTCTGCCGTCTGGGTCGTATTCACGAAAGGATTCAGACGACGTGAGGTCTTTGAGTTTGAGGAACATATCAAAGAACTTGAGGATCATCTCCACATTGCTGGATGATTCTACTAGCATATCTACCATCTGTTTCCCAATGGTCCCATTCACTACATTTCCTAGAAACGCAAAGACATATTTATGTATGTCTTCCGTGGAGTTGCTTATCACTGAATTGAACTTGTTTCATAATTGATTAACTTTACACAGTTACTGAACTGAACCAACACTGAACTGACTGGAGCTGAATAATAACACTCTTGTCTATTATTGCAGAATTTTGGATTTGCATCATTTTTAAAGTTTGCATCAGTTATTCTGTTACTTTCCTGTTTAATACTGTGAAGCTGCTTTGAAACAAAGCACTATAAAAATAAAGGTGACTTGACATGCTCAAAATGACTGCAGGACACTTAGACTCGTTCACACTACAGCTTTTGGAGCGGACTTCGGAATTTGGTTGGTGCAAAGGTGGGCTTCCAGTCATATGGATGCCAATACAGTTTCACAGTTGGTATGAAAACAAGTACAATTCTGTTTGTGTATCCAACAAAATGTAAAACAGACTCGGTATACTGATATTAGTATATTAACATTGATTGGAAAATCAACAATGCCACATTTCTAAGAAGCAATAGAAGAAGTGCATGGAAAAGCATTAAAAATAAGATTCTCCTACCTTCAAGCATGGAAAGCAGCATTACCACCATGTCTTTTTGTAAGTCCATCAAAGCCTTCAGCAGCTCTATTTGACTAGAATCCTGCAGACGCAAAACACCATTCTTTACTTTCTTTTATTCTCTTGAGTTTCCTACATTTTTCTTTGCAATGAATAAATTAGCACATAAGATTTAAAGTAATTTGTCTATAGACTAACCTGAGAAAGCTTCATTTGCATATGGGCAAACACATGGAGGAAGCCAACTACAGCGTCCCACAGACGACTGTGGGCCAAACTCTGCTGGTTTCCTGTACACGGACCCTAAATTAGGCAATTAAAAATGTAATTGATATTAGTGAAACTAGTTGCTTCACAACATAAAAACACCACATTGTGGTGTGTGAACAAAGACAGACACAGCAGGTGTGGCATTTGGCCTCTGAGATGCATTTATTTGAAATAAAACATTAAAAAGGAGAGAATAACAGAATCTTAGGACATACAGTTATCAAATATTAGTCAGTATCTTTACAATTTGACAAAGCACATTTTCAATTGCTTATGTGCATTTACCTGAATGTATTCAGTGAGTGTGTTGAACACCTGCTTGGCCACGCTGATGGCTTTGGAGAAGTTGTGCTGACCACGCTCATCAATCACATCCTTCCCTGAATAATACCAGTAGAAATCACTGATGGACTCCTGTAGATATGAGGCCATCCATCATTCTCAGTATCAGACAAACAAAATGGAGGTGGCTGTCTCACTGTTTTGGGCCCTTCTCCATCTGGTTCTGAAACTCTCAAACCACTTACAGCAGCAAACATGCATTTTTCATTCCTTTTCATGTATATTACAGACAGGCAAAATTAAAAATGTTCATTGGGCTTGCCTGAACCCTGAGCAGATAGTCCACAGTGGAGATGATGATGTTGACCGTTGTGTTGTTTCCAGTTTGAGTCCGCAGGTAGTTCTGGAAGTCTGTGGGGGAAATTTCAGTCTCCAGTTTTTACAAAAATAGACCAGAATATTGATGCTGTTTAAAATTAATATGTGCAAAATAGAGCTCAATAATAAATAATCCAACGATTTCATTAATCTTACATTCAGAATGTACACTGTTTTTCCTTTTGCAATGTTGTGGATTCATTTTCTTTTTGACGATACAAAACAAAACAACAAACATGTTTTGGTTGCTAGCCTGCAGCTGCAGTGCACCAGTGGGCTTCCAATACTGCCAATGGTGGTTTTTGCTTATTGGTGATATTTCAAACATGTCAAGTTCCGAATACAATAAAATCCACTTCTAAATACATGCAAATACTGTTAGACGTCTCACCTGGATTTGATTTACACTGCCAATCAAAAGTTTTAAAACACTTGACTGAATTTCTCATCTTAAAAACCTGATTTAAAGCTGACTTAAATGCTTGAACTTGGTTTTAAAAAACAATATCATTTGAAAGTTATTTATGTATTTATTTACTTTTTTACTTACATACTTGTCTGCTTACTCACAATACTTTGTGATTCAGAGTGTGCAGATATGTAAACTAATATATACAGTAAAACAGTAATATTGTAAAATATCATTACAATTTAAAAATTCTTTAAAATGTAATATTACTGAATATAACTGAATTTTCAGCAGCTGTTAATTACTCCAGTCTTCAGTGTCACATCATCATTCAGAAATCATTCTAATATACTGATTTGGCACTCAAGAAACATTATTATCAATGTTTAACACAGCTGTATTGCTTAATATTTTTGTGAATATTTGAAATAAATATATTTTGTAACATCATACATTTCTAAACTATCACTTTTGATCCATTTAATGCGTCCTTGCTGAATAAAAGTATTTCTCTTAAAAACATCTTCCCGACCCCCAACTTTTGAAGGTAGAATAATTCCCATACTGCCATTGCTTGAGCCAGCTGCTGATATGATGAACCATGGTTTTGTAGGACTACAGTGTAGGCACTCTTTAGGGAAATCAGTCTACTAATGGCTTACTTTTAGTATGGTTAAAGTTGGATAGGAGAAAGCATTTTAAGTATTTTAAGCATATTCCACATCACCTGTTGACTTTGATAGACATAGTACAAAAGAACCTTGCACTATTAAACAAAAACTAAAAACATTATGTTTGTTCTAACCAGTATTATGGCCTTCACAAAGAAGCTGGAGGAATCGGAAAAGATCACAGGTCAGCTGTTCATCTGCCATTACTCTGTCGCCTGAGAAAGAGAGAGAAGGAGAAAGCAAAATGCAGTACAGGCAAATCAATGTCAATAAAAAGAAAATATCTGCCTCTTCTGATAGGCACATTCATTTTTCAAAGCAGTTTGTTGTGGATGTCGGGGATTTACCTGAACTGTCCTCAGCACCCACTCCTAAACTCTCTGCTTTGATCTGCCTCTCAAATGCGTTCAAATCCAGCACGCTGTGACACACAGAATTACAACAGCAACATCAAAACCACAGTCCTCTTCTTTTTAAAATACAAACTAACACAGACACTTCCAATCACAGCAAAGGAACAGATTGAAAGGGAAAAAAGTGATGTAAAACGATGTTCTTTTCTCTTGATTATACCAAGTAACTTTGAAATTGAACACAGGAGCAGGGTGACGGCGATAAATGAGTGAACAGAGCATTTCTCCACTTTTAGGTGGTTTGAGCAGCTGCATTCTGTCAGGGAAATGTCTCACAATGCATTAGCAAATAACAGCTGAACCTGCAAGACTGCATTAAGCCGACCAGACTGTGAAAGAAGCCCACGTCTCTCTTCTGTCGCAGGTAATCCAGCATTTTCTAGGGAGAATTCAACAACAGAGAGATTGAACATGAAGTTGTTATATAAAAGTTGGTTTTGGTGGTAAATGTCAAAATTTTGGGGGTTTTGCGTTATCGCCCAAACATATCTGTAATCCAGCCTGACCTTTTCAAACCTACCTGCTGGACAGACGTGTTTCCTCCATTCAGGATTGCAATGCCCAGCTTTAATGTGGCTGCTACCATAGGCCCCATATCACCTGGTTCAAACATCACATCCAACTTAATAGCATAACATTTGAGCACTGACAATAATAAAAGTCATATGCAGCTGACTCAAGATATCAGGATAAAGATATGAATGGTGACCTGTGTCTTATACCAGGGGTTTTCAATCTTTTTGATGCCAACAACCCCAAATATGATGATCCCCCTATGAGGGACCATTTTTCTAAAATTTAATTAAAGCTTCTTTAAAAAAAAAAAAAGAATACTTGTATTAAGGAAAGCTGCATTAAATTGATCAAAATGACAGCAAAAAACATTTATAAGGTTCTATTTCCAATAAATGCTGTTCATTTAAAATTTTATTCATCAAAGAATCCTGAAAAAATGTTTACAGTTTCCACAAAAATATTAAGCAGAACTATTTTCAAAATTGATAAAAATAAGAATTTTTCTTGAACTCCAAATCAGCATAAATCGGCATGATTTCTGAAGGATCATTTGACACTCACATGTAGAGTAATAGCTGCTGAAAATTCAGCTTTGCCATCACAGGAATAAATTACATTTTAAAATATTCTAATAGAAAACAGTCATTTTCATTTGTAATAATATTTTGCAATATTATAGTCTTAACTGCATTTTTGATTAAATAAATGCAGCCTTGTTGAGCATAAAACTTCTTTCATAAACATTATAAAAATACTGTCTATATAGTATATATATAGTATATTTTCATGTATAGTGATAAATTTATATGGTGTGAGAAATAGTTGATTTAAAAAAATATATATATATTTTTGTGTTACTTTATAATAATTTATGATAATATTTTATATATACAGTACATATTTAAAAAACTTTTTTGTTAAAAAATAGGGTTGTCAAAAGAATAAAAATATTTTAGTAATCTCATGATGAAACAGTAACAGTAATACGAAACAGTAATATAGTCAATTTCGATAGATCTAAGAATTACTGTTAAAACAAATTCAATTAATATCCTAATATGTTAACTGGGACATTTTTGGCAAAAAAAAAACAAATAATAAAAATAAATAAATAAATAAAAATAAAAATCTTGCTTTTTCTCCATGGACCCCCTTGTTTTGACTGATACCTGTGCTGGCGCTGAGGTTCTGTAGGACCATCTCAGCAGCTCCGCGTTCATGAAGTCGGCCCTGCTGATACAGCAGCCTCTGCTTTTCCATCTCTTTTTCCTAAGACATTTAATTAGTAACTCATTCAGTTCACTAAGAAATAAAACATACCAACTGTTTCTCAAGTATATTATTCCTGAAGACAATCATTGATTACGTAATTAATGAACCCAAATACAGTACATAACTGTGTCAGCATCCTCAGACTTTTCTCCTACAATTAAATCAATAACAACTCAGTTCCTCTTCAGGAACTCGAGCTGCGTCGGAGGACGCTTCGGGAACGCCCTTCAGCGTGACCGGCTCTGAACCTCGTGTGTAATCAGACCAATAGATGGGCGAGACGTCACGGGCGGGTGACGTAATGACCAGGAAGCTATAAAAGCACGTGCGGTGAGACCAGCATCAGCTTTTTGTCATTCAGCAAGCGCTCTGTGTGTGTGTCAGTCTGATATCTGTTTGTGAGTCTTATTTAGTGTTGTCTGTCACAAATCTATAAACAAGACAAAACCAGACACCTAAGGCGAGGGCAGGCAGTGTTCAGGCTGTGTGTTCCTCCCTGCCCGCGTTACTTTACGGGTGGGGATACACACAGTTTGTTTGCTGTCTGCTTGGGACGGCTCTCTTTGAGGAGAGCGCCTTCACTAGCGTTCCTCGCGGTGCCGGCCCCGCTTTCGCCGAGGCGGAGTGGCGGCTGTGCTCGTGGGTTTCGCATATGGACCCGGTGGAGGGAATGTAGATGGGCGAGTCCATATCTACTTCCTTAACCACCAGATCCAGCGCCCGCTCTCGGGGTTCGGAAGCCCAAAAATAAATAAATACATTTTCTCGAGTGAGAGCACGAGTTTACCTCTCTTCCTCTGAGGAGGTTGAGGTAGTCGGCAGGGGCTGCTGGGCGGAGCAGTCCCAACCTACCGTGTTACGGCCCTTCATTCTGGGGGCCTCACCGCAGAGTCTAGAGTCAGAGTGGCGCTCCCAGGCCGAAGGCTTCTAGCGGAAGGCGGTTCTGCGGACCGTCATTCTCGCTGGATAGTCTTCATCGTAAATGTCCTGACGCCTAAGGCCTAGGACTTTTTGAGGGCCAGCTCCCTCTGGGAAAGAGCGGTGTACACCACATTACACGGTGCCCGTCTCTCCTCAGTGCCCTCAGGAGATCGGTCTGCCAACCCTGCCGGTGAAGAGAGTTGGGGATCTGCAGGCCCTTTCAGTGGCCCCTTCTTATCTTGACTTTGCGCCCGGTCTGGCCAAAGCGTTTCTGTACCCTCGAGCGGGGTATGTTCCTAAGGTCCCCTCCTCTACACCACGGCCTGTCGTGCTCCAGGCCCTCAGTCCTCATCCCTTAGGGGATCCAGACCAGCACAAGCTTAACTGTATGTGTCCAGTGCGAGCACTGGACGCATACGTCCAGAGAGCTGCGGTGGATAGTAGATGCCATTTCTATTGCCTATGAGACCTCTGATCTCCCTTCGCCTTTTGGGGTCAAGGCTCACTCTACCAGAAGTGTGGCGGCCTCTAAGGCCTTCTTGGCAGGTGTCTCGATGCAGGACATCTGCGACGCTGCGGGATGGTCCACGCCCCTAACCTTCGTCAGGTTCTATGGCCTAGACATGCGAGCCACTCCTGGCTCCTCTGTTCTCGCGCCTTAGCTGTGCACGCTTCCACACTAGGCGAGATTTGAAAGTCTGGCGGCGTGGGCATTCTCGTTCCCGA